ACTCTGAAATAAATATAAATATTTTATATAAGTACAAAATAAATATTAGGGATTCTATATTCCTTTGATTAGTGTTAGTATGGTAAATCTTTCATCCTTTTAATTTTAAACTATCTTTGTCTTGATATTTAATGTGTATTTCTTGTAGGCAGTTTATAGTTATATCTTGTTTTTTTGGCCCACTCTGATTATCTCTAGCTTTTAATTGGGATTTTTAGATTATTTCTGTTTAATGTAATTATTACCATTATCAAGTTACAGTTCATCATCTGCTCTTTGTTTTCTCTATATTCTGTATGTTGTTCTCTTCTGTTTTTTTTTTTTTGTCTCCTATCTGATTGAGTATATTTTATATTCCATTTTATGTCCTTTTTTAGGTTATTAACTATGACTCTTTGCTTCATTATTTTAATAATTGCCTTATGGCTTAGATAATTGCCTTATGTCTTTAACTTCTAAGAACCTTACCATAGTATACTTCTATTACTCTTCTCCTACACATAGTCTGTTGTTTTAAATTTTATTTATATATATGTTATAAAGCCCACATTTTTTACTATTTTTGTTCAAAAAGCACATTCCATTTTTTTAAGATTTTATTTTTATTTATTTGAGACAGAGCACAAGAGCAAGAGAAAGAGAGAGAGAGCACAAGCAGGGGGAGGGACAGAGGAAGAAGCAGGCTCCCCACTGAGCCCAAGGTGGGTCTCGATCCCAAGGTCCTGGGATTATGACCTGAGCTGAAGGCAGAACCTTAACCAACTGAGCCACCCAGGTACCCCAAAGTACATCCTATTTTATTTTTTTTAAATTCAATTAGATGTAGTTTTCAACAAGTACATTCTGTTTTAAAGGGAAATACTAAAAAAATATATATATATATCCTTATAGTCATCTTTGCCATTATTCTTATTTCTTTGTATAGATACGGGATTTCATCTACCATTATTAAACCTGAGTGAATTCCTTTAACATTTCTTATAATTCAGACCTGTCAATAATGGATGCTAAGTGAAATAAATCAAGCAGAGAAAGACAATTATCATATGATCTCACTCATATGTGGAATTTAAGAAACAAAACAGAGAATCATAGGGGAAGGGAGGGAATAATAAAACAAGTTGAAATCAGGGAGACAAACCATAAGAGGCTCTTAATCATAGGAAACTGAGGGTTGCTGGAGGGGAATTGGGTGGGGGATGGGGTAACTGGGTGATGGACATTAAGGAGGGCATATGATATAATGAACACTGGGTATTAAGTAAGACTGATGAAATCACTGAACTCTACAACTGAAACTAATAATATATGTTAATTGAATTTAAGTAAAAAACAAATAAATAAAATAATGAATTCCTTCAGCTTTTGTATACATGTAAATTTTTTTAGTTAAGTTTTGTTTTTAAAGATATTTTCATACTGAATGTAGCATTCTAATTTGACAGATTTATTCATTCGGTACTTTAAAGATTTCACTGTGCTGTCTTCCTGCTATCATTGTTTTTGGTAAGAAATCTGCCACATCCTTATCCTTATTTCTCTGTATGTAACATCTTTTTTCTTTCTGGATGCTTTTCAGATTTTCTCTTTATCCCTGGTTTTGAACAATGTGTTTATAATGTGACCTGGTATGTTTTCCTTTGTTTCTTGTGCTTAGAGTTTGTTGAGCTTCTTGGATCTGTAGGTTACAGTTCTCATCAGTTTTGGAACATTTTCAGTCATCATCTCTCCAAAGTATTTTTCTGTCCACCATCTCTCTCAATAGCTTCACAGACTCCAATTATACACACATTGGGACATTTAAAATGTCTCCCCAGCTAATTTTCTGTTCATTTTTTTAAATAAATATTCTTCCCCATATATTTCATTTTGGATTTTTGTTATTGCTGTGTTTACTACAAGTTCACTAATATTTTTCTTCTGAAATGTCTTATCTGCTGTTAATTCTATGTAGTGCAGTTTCTTTTTTTTTTTTCCAGGTTCATCTCACTTTATTTTTTTAAATTTTATTTTATTGTGTTATGTTAATCACCATACATTACATCATTGGTTTTTGATGTAGTGTTCCATGATTCATTGTTTGCATATAACACCCAGTGTTCCATTCAATACGTGCCCTCTTTAATACCCATCACCAGGCTAACCCATCCCCCCACCCCCTCCCCTCTAGATCCCTCAGTTTGTTTCTCAGAGTCCATAGCCTCTCATGGTTCATCTCTCCCTCTGATTTTCCCCCCTTCATTTTTCCCTTCCTACTATCTTCTCTCTCTCTTTCTCTCTTTTTTTTTTAACATGTATTATTTGTTTCAGAGGTATAGGTCTGTGATTCATCAGTCTTACACAATTCACAGCACTCACCATGTAGTGCAGTTTCATCTCTGATATAGTTTTAATCTTTAGGAGTTTGATTTTGTTTTTTATTTGTCATATATTTTTCCATCTCTTTCCTTACCATATATTTAAAAAACTATCTTAGCATCTTTATCTGCTAATTCTAACATCTGTGGAAGTTCTGGGTTGTTTTGTATGATTTTTCTCCTAATCCAAGGCCACATTTTCCCACTTCTTTGCATGCTTAGAAATAGTTGATTGGATGCCAGGCATGATGAATTTTATTTGAGTGTCCAATATGTTTGTGTTCTATAAATATTCTAGAGCTTTATTCTGGAACACAGTTAAATTATATGAAAATAGTTTGATTCTTTTGGCTCTTCCTTTTAAAATTCATCAGTTGAGACTGGAACAGTACATAGTCTAGGACTAATTATTCCCTACCACTCAGGCAAGATGCTTTTCTGAGTATTCCATTCAAGGCTGTATTTATTATGAAGTTTTCCATGTTGGTTGGAAGGGATGAGCATTATTCCTAGCTCTGAGTGACCAGCAGAAACTGTTACCTCTAATCCTTTTGGGTCCTTCTCTCCCCAGCCTTAGGTAGTGTCTTTAATGGTCAATACTCAGCTGAATATTAGAGGATAACCCTCTGTGTGTATCTGGAGTTCTCTCTCTGTATCTTGCTCCTCTTTGATATTCTATCCTACAGATTTTAGCCACCTTTTCTCTCCAGACTCTCACCCTCATCCCCTCAATGCAAGGAGTTTGCTGGATTGGCCTGGCTTCCTCTTCCCTGGACCATGTCTTGGAAACACTTTCAAGGCAGTAAGCTAGGGCAACTATAGGGCTCACCTCATTTTTTCCCCATCTTTCAGGGATCACTGTCTATTATCTGATGTTCAGTGTCTTGAAAACCATTGTTTCCTATATTTGTCTATTTTTTTGTTTCAATCACAGTAAAGCTGGTCCCTGTTACTATTTCTAGGTAAGAGGTAGAAGGCTTACGATCACCACTGAGTCATTATTTATTGTTCCAAGGCTTTCTCCTTTGTATCTCAAACAGAGCATAGAGAAGAGCAGTTGATGGTTCATCTGGATTTTCACAACATGAAGACCTGGGAGAACTGGCAATTACTAAGTTGACCGGCTAACTGTAGATAAAATCTATAATTTGTAATAATAATTATTTAGGGTTCAGAATAATTTAATTTGGCTAAAGTAATTCTAATTTGAATGCAGTGACAGTTTTTCATGTGACTCTGCTCTTTTTGTACTGGATAAGTTGGTGTGATTCCAAACATCCCATAATGGCTTAGCAGAACCAAATCCAGTAATTATCTCAGTTATTTTAGCCTTATACTTAGGGATACTAAGGTTACCATCTATAGAATTAATTAGTGGGTTAGGTGAGTATAAAGGCCACTGAAGATCTGTACTGATTAGTTTACCATTTGCTTTTTCTTTAAAGTAACATAGCCACAGCTTTATTCTCCTCATTCCAGGAACATCCACTTAACTTTTCTCTATTATTTTATCTTTAAAGATATAGCTAAATAAGAAAATTGTCCTGCTCATTTAAAATATTTTCTTCCTCTTCCCACATTCCAAAATTACATAATGTTTTCCATTATTCTTAATCCCATGACTTAAACAACTGTTGTGATTTCATAAGTGGAAGCATTTGTCTACAGGTGGGGATTAATTTGCAAAGGCAGGAAAACTGTTGAAAACAAAGAGCTAGTGTCCAAGTAAATATCTCTTGAGAAATTAGGACGTACAAGCTACATTGCATGAGAGGAATTGTTACTGAGTATTATGGTTTAAAGAATTCCAGGTGGTCTGTGTGGGTCATAATGCTAGTATTTCATCTTGGAATAATTTTTGTTCTTTCCAACACTTTTTTTTTTTTTTTTTAAACAGTGTTTCTCCTGTAAAGTGCTAGAAAGTTTATTCATATAAACTCAGTAAGTGTGTAGCTATGTAACACAAAATGAAAAGTGAAGGAAGGATCTTTTGGAGAAGCGTTATTTTCTGCAACCTATAGAGATAAATTAGGCAAGAGAATTTTGGGGGTAATGATGGATAAACGGGGGTTGGTTACCTGGATCAGTGCCTAATTCTCCATTTTACTTTCTTCATGTGGATATAGCTCTTGTCTCCGCAGGTTGAAACTTTAGTTTACTTCAAGACTTTTCTCATTTTTGTGTTTGTGGGGGAGGGAAAAGGGATTAAAGTCACTTTTTCTTTGGTAGAGAAGGAATGCTATGTTGGTAAATCATAAACAGGAGAGAGACATAGTGTTTATATATCAGGATGATATATATCATTGTATAAGTGTCTGAGAATGATAACCAGGATAAAATAGAGTAACCTCTCTGAGGTTACTCTTTGTGTCATGTGTCAAGATGGACTCTATGACTCACTATAACAGCATGTAGCAGCCTATTCTCTTCAAGACTAATGAGTAGGGATAGGGTGGCTGGGTGATAGACATTGGGGAGGGTATGTGCTATGATGATAGACATTGGGGAGGGTATGTGCTGTGAATTGTGTAAGACTGTTGAATCACAGACCTGTACCTCTGAAACAAATAATACATTATATGTTAAAAAAAAAAAAAAGATAGTAGGAAGGGAAAAATGAAGGGCGGGAAATCGGAGGGAGAGATGAACCATGAGAGACTATGGACTCTGAGAAACAAACTGAGGGTTCTAGAGGGGAGGGGGGTGGGGGGATGGGTTAGCCCGGTGATGGGTATTAAAGAGGGCACGTACTGCATGGAGCACTGGGTGTTACACGCAAACAATGAATCATGGAACACTACATCAAAAACTAATGATGTAATGTGTGGTGATTAACATAAGAAAATAAAATAAAAAAAAAAAGACTAATGAGCAACTTTTACTTACCTATTTTAGCCAATTATTTCACACTCTATGTAAATCTTCCATTCCTTTATATTGCCCAAACAATAAACTCCTTGGCATACAGTGGCCCCTTTCATAATCTGATTCCGACTTCCCTCTCCGGGAGCATCTGATACCCCATCCCTCCTTGCACCTTATTCTTCAGTTGCACCAAAGAGTGACCTTTCCTGAAACATGCAGGTTTATGCCTCTTCCCTCTTATGATCTTTTCTCTACCTGTGGCCCCTTTCATAATCTGATTCCGACTTCCCTCTCCGGGAGCATCTGATACCCCATCCCTCCTTGCACCTTATTCTTCAGTTGCACCAAAGAGTGACCTTTCCTGAAACAGGCAGTTTTATGCCTCTTCCCTCTTATGATCTTTTTTCTACCTGTGGCCCCTTTCATAATCTGATTCTGACTTCCCTCTCTGGGGGCATCTGATACCCCATCCCTCCTTGCACCTTATTCTTCAGTTGCACCAAAGAGTGACCTTTCCTGAAACAGGCAGTTTTATGCCTCTTCCCTCTTATGATCTTTTCTCTACCTGTGGCCCCTTTCATAATCTGATTCTGACTTCCCTCTCCGGGGGCATCTGATACCCCATCCCTCCTTGCACCTTATTCTTCAGTTGCACCAAAGAGTGACCTTTCCTGAAACATGCAGGTTTATGCCTCTTCCCTCTTATGATCTTTTTTCTACCCAGACATTTTTATCTCTTACTTGCCAACTGTACTCTTGTTCCTCCTTCATGATCCACATCAAATCAAATGTCTTAACTTCCTTGAAGCCGTTCTCAACTCTCTTAGGAAGAGTCAAATCTTCTCCTAGTCATACACTTTTATATTAAGATTTAATACATAGCATTGACTATCACCTCCAGGAACAACATACTGTATCTCTATCGTCGTATCTAACAGAACTGTTGCAAGGTAGGCCTTAAGTAAATGAGTAAATGAAATAAGCTAATGAATAGTTCCCTTCACACATGGAGATACCACTCAGAGCAGACAGTATTCAGCATTCTTTTTTCATATGCAAACAATGCACTGAGCTCATCAATAGGAATTGTTCTAATTCATTTCAGAAGAATTTTGTTGCATTGAGTAGTCAGTGACAGCCTAGAAACCTTGATGTGCTTGTCTTTCCAGGTTGGATAGAGGGAGTGAAGCAAAAAACACAGAAGCGGAGATTGCCGATGTTCAGCTAACCACTGACTCGATACTATAAACAGAAAAAAGAAAAAAAAGTGTCAAAGCAATGGAAATTTCATGTCAGGGAGTGGGGTAGTCATGAGCCTATTGGATTGACCCTTAATAAAAAACTTTGTAAAGTTGTTCTAGTAGTAATCTCCTAATTATTAGTGCAATGATTACAAGTAAAAAAAAACAAACACACACACACACAAAAACAAACTACACTTACCAGCAGTTAGATATAACTGCAACCACCTGGACTTGTAATCCCTTTACTACTTTCCTTCAATATTTCCACTATCACTTATAGCTTCTCAAGAAAAAAAAAAAATACTCTTATAGTAGAATTACTGAAATTTATCAGGTAATATCCATGAATAAACAATATATGATTTTTAAAAAAAAATAATTTCTGTTCTCAACGCCTTATTTAAATAAATGACATCTACTTTCCTTGTCATGAGTATTACTATATCAAAATTTTGTTTGTTCAGCCTAGTAAATAAATGATTTAATTATGTTTTATATTTTGTTTGTTTCTAAGGCTAAAAGAACAAATAAATACATACTGTCTGAAACACACAAGATCCATAGTGAAAGCTTACAAAGTGGCTGAAAAAATGAAAGCCTGCTTTCATATTTTTTTTTTCTTAACTCTGTACTCTAGCTTGAAGAAACAATGAAATTAAGCTCAATCGAATTTATTTAGTAAAGTTCACCTGACACTTTAAAGACACATCTTTGAGTTTAATCTTTCTAACTCTGGGCCTGGCCCTTTGAGACTCTTACCATCTTTCACATGCCCCCTTTATGTAGAGAAAAGAGAAAAAAAATGCATGAGACAACTGTGAAATATTTTGCAAGATTTTAATATTACTTAAGCAAACTTTCATTCCCTTTGTTTAGCGGCCAGCTGTAGCTGACACAAATATATAGCTGCTAGCTGCTAGCCCGCCCTCAGAGCGAGATTTTATATAAGGATTTATTTATGGCTAATTTCTTTATCTTTATATTGAATATCATACTTGGTAGTATCTTTCAGCTTGTAATTATTTTTGCTTCACATCAAAGAACAACATTAGAAATTAAAGTCCATTCACTGTTTTATATGATTCATAGCCTATGCTGCAAATCTTATAAAAGATGCTCATTTTTCTTTCTTTTCCAGATCCCCTCTCCTCTTCCTCTGTCCCTGCACCCGTCTAACCCCACTTCATTCACAGGGCTCAGTACTTTTGGTATTAGTAAATCATACTAATATATATTAACAATATATACATATCAGAGAAAGAAACATTTTCCTGCCCATCATCCTGATCCACAGTCCAAGGAAACCTCAGTTTCTTTGCCTCTCGGCGTCGTCTTTTAAGGCTGGATTGTTTATGTCGACCTCCTAAAGTGCTTGCTGAATAAGAAAGACGCACTTGGTACCAAGCTGCCTTTCCTTTCCTTGGTGTGGAATCCTATAGCACTGTGGAACTTATAAATAATTGAGTTATTTTTAAACCACTGGATGTTTTCCAGTCACTCTATTTCACACTGGATTAATTATGTAAGAAAACTGAATTGTTCCTCACCAGTGTTACAACTTTTAAAAACAACATGCTGTTTAAATTCAGGTTTGGCAACTCTGGCCCGAAACCCCTCAAATTTATGGCACCACACCCATAGCATAATAAAACCTTTAGTGGTCCTTTGTCTTTTAGCTTGCCTTCTATTTTTTCTCAAGGGTGTTTTATGCTGGAAGATGCAAACAAAAGTTGTCCAGATGTTATTTGTATCAGAGCAGGATTTCAGTCCAGCTATCTGTGCTTGCAAATGTTTATTTTAATGGGTTATTGTGCAATCTTGCTATGTAGACCTTCATGGCCTTATATGCATGTTCTCAGCAATGCCAGGACATTGTTTTTTAAAATATATCATTTTAGTCCAATTGAATGATTACTAGTCACTAGGGGAGCAAAAAATGTAACACCTGTAGAAACACAGAGTATATTTTTGCCAATGCCCCTATGTTGACACCGTGCAAACTGCCTGATTATGAAACCATGACCAATGGGCTTTAGGTAAGCAGGAGGAAGGTGTGGTCCAAGCCCTAGCAACAGTCCAGCCCTGGGACAAAGTTACACAGTTACTGGGCTGCAGTAAACATACCAAGGGTGTCGAAAAAAAGCCCAGCTGTTGCCCCATGCAGTTTGATGGAATGAAAGAGGAGCTTAGCTAAATCACCATAGTGTAAGCTGCAAGTTTATTTTAGCTATTATAACAAGCATGGGGCTGGGCTTATTATTCATTTTTAGAATTCTAATAAAATCTTAACTGATGTCTCCTTGATACTAAAGTAAATTGTTTACCCTATATCTAAAAACATACATTATGTCAGATGCACCAATTAGTGGTGGAGAATTTCTAGTCCTTAAAATAAATTTTGAAACTAAATTGCATCATACAGAAAAGGATTTGGTTTTCCAGAAAGTGCTAAATTTTAGAGCTACAAGTTTTCTCTGATAATTTATTTAAAATCAAAGGATGTTTCTAGTACACATGTGAAGGACACATTTCACATTCTCTGCTGTTGAAAAAAAAAAAACACCCACTTTGAATTTAATCTCGGCTTTAGAAAGGACCCCTAAGAGGAAAATTATTTTAAGACCTGTTACATCAAAGACTTATCAGTCACACTAAAGATTTCACTAGGCATTTCATTGACTTTTTAAGTAAAATATAAATATTTAGTTGAAAATAAAGCAGAAGATAGTCTTTTTTTTTTTTTTAAGATCTTATTTATTTATTTGACAGAGAGAGATAGCGAGAGCAGGAACACAAGCAGGGGGAGTGGGAGTAGCAGGCTTCCTGCCGAGCAGGGATTCCGATGTGGGGCTCGATCCCAGGACTCTGGAATCATGACCTGAGCCGAAGGCAGACACTTAATGACTGAGCCACCCAGGTGCCCCAGAAGATAAGTCTTTTTATAAGTCAGCTTTGAGGTAAATTAAATGTTGGTGTAGTTTCGTAGATACAAGCAGCCCTGATAAAATTTGGTGATCCAGAAATTAGTATATGATGAGGAAAACAATTTTTTAAAACTTTGGAAAGAAATTGATTTTAGGTTATTTCTTACGATAGTATGTATGTGTCAATCAACATTGATTAATAACACTCTCCTATATTTGTCTAATAGTTTATCATCTAGAAAGTGAACATTAACACATGGCTTTACAGATTTGGATAGCTTATATAGTGTCATACTTTTATCACTCCCTAGAGTCTGAAATGTCCTCATTGCTGTCTTGTTCTTCATAGATGTGGACACAGTGCTATTTCTGTGAGATTCAGCCCCATGTACTCAAATGGCTTCTTGTTCATATGAATCAATGGCTAGCATAGGCAACCTATTAAATAGTCACATGTTGCATCAGTATTCTACAATAACGGATTTACATGAGATATTAACTCCCTCAATTTCTCTATTAAAATCATGTATAAGGGCAGTTAAATATGGCACATTTGGGGCTGAAAACAAGAGCACCAAAGAAGGAAAAATGTATGCTGTTGCTTTCCTTCTCTCGGTCCAGGAGGCTCTATCAGTAAAAAATCAGATAATCAGAATTCTTATGTCATATTTTGGGTTTCCCCAGAAGCCAACCCTGAGATAAGGATGTGAGGGCAAGCAGTTTATTTTGAAGGTGGCAGGAAAGAGATTGAGGGAAGTGAAGTCAAGCACCAAGGAGTGCTTTATTAGCCAGCTACCTCAGTGTGTGGCTGGCACTTGACCCTGCAGAGGACCTTCTAGAATATAGTGGGAGACACAGACCTCAGAATAATCCTATCCTAGAGTGAGAGAGCTGAGGTATTTATATACCACCTCCTTAGAGGCACCGCACGCAAGAGTTATTGGATAGACATGGGGCTGGAGGGGTGGAATGGAGGCAGTGGGGTGGCGTGTTACCTCCTAATATTTCTGGACTGCCACGAGTGCACAGAATAGCCTTCTTAGATCCAGGAATAAAGCCCTCAAGCACACAGATGCAAATGGGTGCAAGGAGAATTCAGCCAGATCGCACTGCAAAGTCTGCGGATGAAGATGGGATACCGTTCACATCTTGTTACATTTGGCAAAGAAGACATTCTATGATTTGGGTTTCTAATTAGCTTAAGATTTAATTAAAAAAGACTTTGATTCATGTTGCCAAAAATAACTCTAAAATATTTTAAAAAGTGTTCCCAGGTGAATTGCCTGGGGAATATGATAGATATCTTTCCTTGAAAGTTTGAGATTATGGGATCCTGTGGTCATAATGTCAATCATAATGTCTCAAGAAAGAATATTACCCAAGGTGTAGTCTGAGGTATGGGGAACAGAGATAATTTTGCACTCACCTCAAGGAAATGTTTCAGGAATTTATTCTGATTGAAAAACTAAAGCAAAATGTTTTGTGATTGGCCATGTTTTATTAAAAGTAGACTATAACAAGAAAATTAAAAATCCTAATTTAATAGAAAGATGTACAAAATTAATTTCTGTTAGTCAAGGTTTTATTATGGCTGCCAAAAGGAAAGCAGAGCCATTAATTCAAGAACTCATTCGTCTATTTATCCAGCGACTTTTATAAAATATTTACCAAGTCCAGAAAATTATAAAATGAATAACATGAAGGTGGGCCAGGCAGTGGTCAAAGTCTTTAGAGTAGTTGAGACTTGATACTGAAATTCTGCTTTGCTGCTTTCTAGCTAGGAGTCCTTGAGCAATTTATCTTAGTTTTTGAGTCTCAGTTTTGTCTTCTGTAAAATAAGAGTAGATAAGTTGAGGAATTTAAGGAGATTATGTTTAAAATGAGCTTAAGAGCATTGCTGGCACATACGAAACACTCACTGATGTCATTTTCATAAACAGTGGTAATGGGAATGTTAGGGTTGCTCCCAATCGGCTAAAGGGGGCAGGTGTACACACTGTAATGCAGGGCAAAATATGACAAGTGTTCTGCAATCACAGAGGATGAGCACAATTAGAGAAATGTCTTTTGAGATATATAGGTGGGTCCTGGAGGACAAAAGGGTTTCTGAGAGATGATTTTATGAGTCAGATTGAAGGGGTGAATGTAAGTCAAAGCACAGTGTTCTAAATGGACCTGGTGTGTCTGGAATGTTTGAGTACCTACGGCTTGAGACACAGAGCTCACGTATTTATCTCTAAATGCTGGATGGTCCCATGCTTCAGTCCTTGGACTCCCCTTTCTATCTACCCTCATTCCTTTAGGTGATCTTATCTATTCTTCATGGCTTTTATACTATCAGTTCACTGGTGAACTCCAAGTTTAAGTCGAAGAACGCTAAATGTAGGTTTCCAGATAAGCCCTCCTCCCTGAACTTCCTTGTGCATTTCTGCATAGCCACTGGGATATCTAATGGGCATCTCACGGTTAACATGCACAAACCCAATTCTTTATGTTTCCTCCTGGAGTTTGCTTGTTTCCCCTATAACCTTTCACAGCTCTGGTAATGGACATACCATCCTACTAATCATTCAGACCCCAGCCATGGTGTCCTCTTTCATTACTCTCTCTCAAAGCATACACCTACTTCATTATCAAATCTGTTGTCTCAGATTTGAAAATATATCCAGCCTATGACCTCTTCCTACCTTCTCTACTAATGCCATGCTGGTATCCCTCCTAGATGATTGCAATAGTCTCTCTAAACATGTCTCACTACTTTCTGCTGAGAACAAATAGCAGCAAGTTTAATCCTGTTTGAGTAAAGCATAGTGTGTTCCTCAGAAGACACTGAAAGCCCTCATTTCATCCAGACTAAAAGCCCACGTCACTACATATTCCAGAAGGCCCTCCATGATCTCATCTCTGTTATTTTTTACCTCACTTCTTTATTTCCCTCTTGATTATGTCATTCCAGTCATACTGGGTTCCTTGTTCAACAGATACAGCTTCACATTCTCATCTTGGGCCCTTGGTTTACCTATCTCCTCTGTCAACATCACACCCACAGTTCATCTCCTGGATAATATCCTTACCTTCTTTAAGCTTTTGTTTAAAATTCACCTTTCTCTCTGAGGTCTGTACTGACCACCCTATTTAATGCTGTCATCTGCACCCCTTCACATATGCTCACATCTTTTTCAGAATGAGTCTGCTCTACCTATTTTTCCATATCCCTTGCTGCCTTATAACTCAGTGTATTATTTAGTAGTTTTATTTAATATTTATCCCTTCCCCTGGCAAGTAAGATACAGCACCAGGAGGCCTGTTGCCATTGTGCATTCTGTTCAGATGTTTGCTGAAGGAGTGCTCCCACACATGTAGCTGTTCAAGAACAACAGAAGTGATGCTCTGTCTTCTTTCTTCTGAAGTGTGCTTTTCCTCCATTAACAGAAACAGTCCCTTCAATCCACAGTTCACAATATTCCTGATCATTTAAAAGATCTTGAATATAACTTCTGTATTTTTTACAGTTTCTCTCCATTGGAAACTAGAATATGATATGAAGTAAAGAACTGTTATTTATTCTATACTGTGGGAGATTTCTTTCTGAAAAAAATTATTACTGCTAGATACATATTAGGAAAAAAAACTAATAATGAGTAACTCCAATATGGTGAGAATTATATGTATTCATTAAAATTCACAATAGCCATGTGAATGGCTGTCTTCTTTAATGACTTGAAAACTAGAGATCAGGGAAATTTAGCAGTTTGCCAAGATTCGCATGGTAATTGGGGTGGCCTGGAGTCGCAAGCTAGTTTTTTTCTGACTCCTTAGCTCTTATTTTTCATTGGCCACCTTGATTTGATACATGAATCTCTATTGTGTAGATATGAGAAAAGTAAAAAAAATGCACACATGTCTCTGAATCCAACAGGTGAAGGATAGATGATTTTTAATAAATGTATGTTTTCATCCAAGGAAATTTATCATATTTTTATTTTTTTAAAAGACTTTATTTATTTCTCAGGGAAAGAGAGAGCACGAGCTGGGAGGGAGGGGTAGAGGGTAAGGGAGAAGCAGGCTCCCCACTGAGCAGGGAGCCCGATGCGGGGGCTTGATCCCAGGACCCTGGGATCATGACCTGAGCTGAAGGCAGACGCTTAACGACTGAGCCACCCAGGCATCCCTGTTTTATTTTTAATACTTATCTTGCTTTCAGGCCACTGTGCATTGAACAGCTCCATCGATGTAGAGAAGACTTCATTTCAGATAAAAAAGATGCTGAGATTAAGCATCCCTGTAGAAAAAGCCAACTAGTAAGTTATACTTTACTAATTATTCTAAAGAGGTTTGAACTGTCATAACTGTAGTGTACAGCTACATGGTACGACACTGTTTTTTTCAAAAACCTATTTAAAGTAGCATCTCATGATGTTTACTGACTAAAAGCGATCTTTGAAATATTTTTAGTTTCGATACTTTTTTGATTTTTTTTTCCAAACTTTGGTCTGAGTTTTCACAAGAACATTCTTTTCTTACATCTCGTATCCTGTTTTTAAGCAAAATACTGTTTTTTTTGTTTTTTGTTTTTTGTTTTTTTTGGGTGATACTTTTCTCATTCTGTTGAAGCTAATGTTCATGATTTTAAAAGTTCCATTCACTCTTTTCTTAATTTATGTTTACTACATAGTGAGGCAGAAGCATCTGTTTAAATTTGTCTTCACTGATTTTATTTTACATCTTCTAAACCCAGATTACTAATTTGTGTCATTTTCTTCACTCTCATCTGGAGAAGTCTTCTTTTCCTTTTCCAATGCAGTAAGTAATTCTTGAGGAGGAAAAAATTTCAAGTTCATTTAAGACAAAAGAGATTTTGTGTTTCTCATCTCTTTTGTTCCTGATCATTCATCAGCCAACAACGAAGAGATCCAGCCCACAATCACTTTACGCATAAACTTAGAAGCAAAAAAACTTACAAACGAAAGGATCTCTTGTCCACAGAAGAAAGTCATATTGTCCATTTCTCTCATTTTAGAAGTGAGAAAAGTGAGGCCGAGAGAGTTTAAGTGGCTCCCTTAAAGACGTGCTGCTAGAGAGTGCCTGCCCCAGAACCAGCTTTAGGACTACCAATTTTGAATTCTCAAGTATTCTATCTTATGATTTAGCTTTGCTTAGTTTTTGAAAGTAGGGGATTGATGCTGTAAAGAAAACTTTTTACTCCTCTGTCACAGAAGTATAAGGGCATCAATATTCTAACTAAAGACTTATTTTCATTTTTGGTGTTTCCGAAATTTGCATGTTAACACATTTTAGTCTGGGGCAGCAAAAACATATTTTCTTCTGAAACTTCAGACTTATTTGAGAAAGTTAAACTCTGAAAAGAGAAACCCATTTGGTCATTTTCAAATAAGATGCAGTGTAACAATGGATGTGCCTTTTCTTCTTTTTATCTGCATATGTAGTAAATAAACATGATGGTTAGTTTCATTTGCTTTCCTCTTTACACCATACTGCAGAAAAGAGGCAAAAAAAAAAAGATTTCCAATGAGATAAGTTTGCTCATCCTTCGTTTATCTTCTGCAAATGAGCATGTATAAAACAGTCCACCTACTGTTCTAGTTGCTGCAGTTTAATGCACTTCCACTGAATAATCCTGTTAACCTAACCTTCAATTTGCTGCGGCCTGAACTCTGAATTACAGTTTACGAACATAGTTTAACAGCTGGTACAAGGGCTTCTTTTGAATTTTTAATCATATGAATTAAAGATTGCTAGAGATGCTTTTTTAGACTTCTCTTAGGAGTGATCTAATGTATAGAAAGTCAAGTATAGAGAAGCCCAAGGGAATTGAAACACAAAGGTACTAGGCTTGGAGACAGAAGGCTGCACACTCTGTTCACCAGATTGGGATAGCAACTGCAAAGCATTCATTAAATATTGCATCTTAAGCAACCATAACATCATCAAATACTGCACTGTCTTCATATGTACAATACATATTTTGTAGTTACCTTCAGATAGGCACTAGTCAAGCAGAAGTGAGCATATATTTAAAAGACCCATTATATCAAAACCTTAAATTGGTCCAAGGAAAAATCAGAAGAAGTTAATCAATATACTAACGGATTATTTGATCATCATTATAGAATTTCCTAAAAACATCAGTGTTTTGCAACTGATGAGATTTTTGTGAAATTTAGTGTATGCTGAAATTAAGTTAGTGGGGCATGACCAACAATTTTTAAAGAATAAAACGGGATAGAATAGAAAATGTCAGAATGCATCTCATTTAACATAAATTATCGTGTAACATTTTGTGTTAGCTATGTGTGTTTGTGAGTGTGTGTGCGCTGCATAAACTGGTTTGTTGTTGTTGTTTTCTCCTGTTTAAGGACAGTTTAAAAAACACTGGCACAGGATAGATAGTTAAATTAAATTTCTACTTCCAAAATTCTTATTATTCCCACGCACCTTCTTAAGAATATATCTAGCACATATAATCAGGTATATATGGAATAATAATAATAACACACCGCAAAGTTCAATTTTCTGGTAACTTCAGAAAAATGCCCCAAATATGGCAATTATCAATAAGTTATTGATATCACCTTATATCAATATATAAGGTGATATAAGGTCACCTTAATGATATATATATCATATGATATGATATATAAGGTATAGATATGACAGATATATAAGGTCACCTTATATCAATAAGGTGATATGACAGGGGAAAATATTTATTATTAGCATTTGTTGTTTTTTTAGCTATAAACATGTATGTGTGTGTATATTTTACTAAACCCCTTTTTCTGTGATTTATCCCAGCATGAGCTTCCTTACATGCTAAAAGTTACAGGGAATATATTCTGTACAACTGGATATATTCTTGCATATTATGTAAGAAGATCAGTGTTTGGGGTTTAGGATGTTGTTTTGTTATTTAATATTTCAAGTTTGCACAGCTTATAATGTGTAAGGACAACTGTTTATCTGTTAGAATCATCTACCAAAATGCAGGCAAAAGGGAGGTAAACTAAAAGCAAACCAACAAAATCAGGGCATTAACCGAAATAAATCATGAGTCTTCCTCATTCATAAATTTGTGTATCCTCGAATAGGTTTATTTCCCAGTATAGGCAACATAAGGTTGTCTGGTTGTCTAGACAAGTGCAGCCAAGCTTTCTCCTCATAAACATAAATGGTTTTATTGTATATATGTGTTTATTGTATACAATTTGTATCTATGTGTTTATTTTATGCCAATTCACCTCCTCTTTTCAAGAACAAGTAAGTATGTCTGTGAGAAGTTTGGGTCATGTAAAAATGATTTCAAAGGTTGAGGAAGATGATGTCTTTAGTTCTGTGGGATCAGTACAATTCTTCTCATCCGAACTGAGAATCTGCACTTGGCCCACTTAATTCCCTTTCCAACGTTGTCTTCATCAAGAATATTGAGAAGAGGGTGCCTGGGTGGCTCAGTTGGTTGAGCGACTGCCTTCGGCTCAGGTCGTGATCCTGGGGTCCCGGGATCGAGTCCCGCATCGGGCTCCCTGCTCGGTGGGGAGTCTGCTTCTCCCTCTCCTGCCCCCCCTCTTGTGCTCTTTCTCTCTCTCACTCTCTCTCTCAAATAAATAAATAAAATCTTTAAAAAAAAAAAAAGAATATTGAGAAGAGAAATTTACCTTTTTTGGTGAGTAAGTATAGGCTTTGTTTGCTCTTTTTTATACTTTAGTATGAATCAAGCAAAGTGAGATGAGAACAAAGCAATAAATGAAGATGGTTCAGTTCATCGAAAGGACACAGAACTGGCCCTAGAATGAGAAAATGCAAGGAGACACTGGATTCCGTAACTGATATTGCTCATTGTAGTGAGGCAGTAAGGCAAGAAGTAACGGAGGGGAACAGATTTGGGATGGGTTTTGAATACTTTTCTTACCATGTGATGAAATGGTTGCTTAAAGCAGCTGGCTGCATTTAATTATTTTTATTTCAATTTTATTTTTTTCTTAAATGCAGTTACTTCATAGACACACTTATTTTCCAACATCAGCTCCTGAGTAGTATAATATAGAATGCCTCATTAGCAATGGAAATGGGCTTAACTTTGTAGCAGGAATGTTCTGAATAATGTTTTTAGATGTGGAGGAAGCTAGCAAGGGAGATCACAGAACCTCTCTCTTCCCCCTGGAGAACTTCAGAACGGGTAAAAACTTATTATTTCACCCACAAATTTCACATACGTTCTGTCTTCATTTGCTGGTGCTGCTTGTACATCACGAAGGCCTCCCCAGCCCTTGTTCTTCCTTCTGCTTGCCTTTACTTGGAGATGCCGCGTGAGAAAACAGAAAAATGCCTCAGCTGGAAGGAGGATGTGGGTGCTGCTTGAGCAACCGTACTGGTATGTTTCTCTATCCACACTCTCCCCCAGGGTTTCCTCATTGTCCTTTAGGGGTTGGATTATTGCAGCGGTTTTCAATCAACAGCATCAGCACAACCTGGGAACTTATCAAAAACGCAAGCTGCTAGGTCCCTTATCAAGTCAACTGAATGAGAAGCTCTCTCCAGGGAAGGTTGGATTTCTGGATACTCCGATATGAAATGTTCTATTATATCATCCTGAGCAATGCAACCAAATGTCTGGAAAACATGGTGAAATCACCACCAGCAAAACAACTGCAAAAGCTGACCGAATTCCTTACCTGGCAGTGCCCACCGCTCAATTCGACACACATGTTTGAACATCAGGTGTCTGCTCATTCTTACTGATGCCAAAAGACCCAACTCATCCTAGGTGGCTCAGGTAAACGTTCATCTGTTCAGTCAACAAATATTGGTTGAATGCCTGGTGTGGGCCGTACACTGTGCCATGCACAGAGGATGTATATGAAGATAACTCTCGTAGGTCCATTACATCGAGTCCTCTGCAGAGATGAGAAAAGTATTTAGAGAGCTGAATCAGGAACTTTTTTTGGTTGCTGATGCCACCAAAAAAAAAAAAAAAAAACCTTTATATTTCCAATAGTTTACACCCTGCAGGTGGAAAAGCCTTTCCCACCAGAGAGGACGGTTACATCCCCCGATGCAATTCTCTCTGGCTGACAGTATGTTTACTAAGAATGCTATCTTTAGGGCATTCTAAAGAAAGGCAAACTACAGTACCAGAGAGCACAGCAGCTGAGATGTGTGCATGTGCCTCCAACTCCAATCTGAAGGGTGAAGCTGAAGCGTCGGCCGCAGCTGGAAGAATGGGGAGCAGAACACTGGAACGGGCAAAATGGTTATTCATTTCCTCTCTTGTGATCTTTCATATTTCATTTTTGTGAATCTCAATACATAGTTGAGACTTTTCCCAGATTCACAATCAACCCTGATTATCTTCCTCCTCTCTCCACTTTTCCCTTTTTAGTTTCTTGGAAACTGTTAGAGGAAGAAGATTAAAAACTATCTGGCATGGAACATTCTTGCTTTTTTTTTTTTTCCTTTTTAGATCACTTAGTATTTGTCTAAGAATTGAGAAAAAGAGACAAAGGAGAGAATAAGGCCGAGGGATAGGAGAGACAGAAAATTGTGTTTCTCTTCAAATATATTTTTCATCTCTGACTTCACATAAAAATTTTGCAGTGCATTCAGTCGTAATATTTACATAATTTTAAACGGGTAGTGATTCTTTTGGTGACAAAATTATTATACAGTGTTAATCCTCTCTTACGCTCCCATGGTTTGGTAGCTTTTTATTTTTCTCAGGATTTAGTATGTGTGGACAATTCAATTCGAGTGAACAACCAGCAACAGTTTGATTGATTGAAGCCGCTCCTTTTTGCTGACCTGAGCTCACCTGAGCTTCAACTCTTAAATTCTCTACAATTGTTCGAAACCCATATATGAAGCCAGCAGGATCCACATAATAGTTGAGAGCATAGCCAGTGCAGGACCTTGAGAGGCATAGCAGGTTATAGCCAAAAAGCTCTACCTGCCTCAGGGCCATTGTCTTCGTCCTGAACAGAAGTTTTTGGTGGTCAGCCCCAAGTCCTACTCAGTTAAGAAATTTATCAGTAAGGGCGCCTGGGTGGCTCAGTTGGTTGAGCGACTGCCTTCGGCTCAGGTCATGATCCTGGAGTCCCGGGATCGAGTCCCGCGTCGGGCTACCTGCTCAGCAGGGAAGCTGCTTCTCCCTCTCCCGCTCCCCCCTCTTGTGCTCTTTCTCTCTCTCACTCTCTCTCTCAAATAAATAAATAAAATCTTGGGGGCGCCTGGGTGGCTCAGTTGGTTGAGCGACTGCCTTCGGCTCAGGTCATGATCCTGGAGTCCCGGGATCGAGTCCCGCATCGGGCTCCCTGCTCAGCGGGGGGTCTGCTTCTCCCTCTGACCCTCTTCCCGCTCGTGCTCTCTGTCTCTCATTCTCTCTCTCTCAAATAAATCAATAAAATCTTTAAAAAAAAAAGAAATTTATCAGTAAATTAAACATAAGTTAAAATTATGTGACTGCTTTGCAAAAACAAAAACTTTTAAGTCATGAGGGAGAGTGACTATAACACATATAGATTCAGAATCTCTCTCCACAATGCTCTGCAACCCCCCCACCCCCACACGCAGATGCTAACAGATATTGAAAAATGCTAAAAGTCTGGAACAATGGGGTGACTCCAGTATGATTATATTCATTAGGGATAATTGTTAAGGCCTGAAACTTGGATTCAGAAACAAAATGCACAAAGGTAGGACTGAGGGTGATATGATTTAGCGAAGACAGTTGTGAAAGAGACTGAGACATTTAGTTGACAATGAGCTCAATAGGAGTCAACAGAAATGTGGCTGCCAAAAAGGCTGATGGGCCCTCAGGCTGTATTAATAGAAGCACTGCTCTAGAATAAGGCAGATAATGGTGCAGCTCAACTTGAAGCTGCACACACAACACCCAGAGAGTTCAGTCAGCCCTGCGGGATCCACGTGGACCTGTTTGCAATGAACTGTAACAAGGCAAGTAAAGGCAGTCAAGAATTACCACATATGAGCAATAGCCACAGGAAATGAAATTTACCTTTGGAAAAGTCTAAAGAAAAGTACATGTGCCACGAAGAGCAGACTTGTCAAAAGAGATTTGAGTTATTCTTCATGATCAAGAAGAGAACCTCTTCGTAGAACCTTAGAGAGATAAGCTAGAAATAATCTAGGCATTACAGTCCAGACAAACCTGGCATGGCTTTCTGGCTCATTGGGCTACTCTATAAACTTGAACAAGTTTATTCTTCTCCTGTTTACTTCTATTTCCATATTCGTAATTTGAGGGAAATACCTACCTTATAAGATTTGATATTGAGGATTAGAAATAAGGCATTCAAAATAGCGCAGTGCCTGTCACCATATGTGCATAGAATCTGCAGCAGCAATAAGAGTCAGAGATAGCTAGAGGATGATGGACAAAATCGGGAAGAAGTGAATAAAATTATGCTTATTAGAAAAGGTGATGAGGAAGGAAATATAGAGTTGAGAGTGGATGGGGGATTAATCAAATAACCTGTAGGGTTTCTTAAGATCCTGAGAGCTATGAAAAACATCTTTTTTTTTTTAAAGATTTTATTTATTTATTTGACAGAGAGCGACACAGCGAGAGAGGGAACACAAGCAGGGGGAGTAGGAGAGGGAGAAGCAGGCTCTCCGCTGAGCAAGGAGCCCGATGCGGGGCTCGATCCCAGGACCCTGGGATCATGACCTGAGCCGAAGGCAGACGCTTAATGACTGAGCCACCCAGGCGCTCGAAAAACATCTTATAATATAGCAGTATATATAGAAAAAGAACACATTAAAAAATAAAACTAGAAGAACAGTCATTCTATGAAGAGACCTAGGCTTTTTTTTTTTTTTGGTCTCAGGTGCTTTATAAACATTTAGAAAGAACATCTTTTCCTTTAAATATCAGAAACTTCTTAAAAGGAATTCAGAAAATAATAAAAGTATCATTTCATAGGGACCAGTGCTGAGATGGGTTAAAATTATCAGGAGCATTATAGAACAACCTTTCTAAATTCTTTGAATAGGTAATATATTCCATAGTTCAAAATCAACCCTTCTTACCCGATTAAAATCCTGTGTTTTTTGTTTGTTTGTTTGTTTGTTTGTTTGTTTTTAGTACTCTGAGGATAGAATTCTTGAAGTCCTGCTGAGAACATTGTATACATTGTTTTCTTTCATAGAGGCTTAAGTCAGTTGACTTGTAATAGGACTTGCACCTTCCATATCTATTTCCTTTCTTTTTAATTAAGAAGAATGTAAAATGGGGGCATCTGGGTGGCTCAGATGGTTAAGCGTCTGCCTTCGGCTCAGGTCATGATCTCAGGGTCCTGGGATCGAGCCCCACATCAGGCTCCCTGCTTGGCGGGGAGCCTGTTTCTCCCTCTCCCTCTGCTGTTCTCCCTGCTTGTGCTCTCTCGCTCTGTCAAATAAATAAATAAAATCTTTAAAAAAAAAAATAAGAATGTGAAATGTATCTGGGACAAAGCATGTTTCAAGAATCTCCTTTTAAATTATGTTCTAAAGCTACTTGTAATATTAAAAAATTTTCCACTTGTTGCAATTCCAATGTTACTTCAAGAAAACTTGCCCACCAAACCAAGCTGCTCAGGAACATAACCCAGGGTCTGTGTGTGGAAGGCAAGTCATTCAGTAGGCACTCAAATCCCTAATAAAGGGCTCTCTCTTTTTTTTTTTTTTTTATAGTTCCTTAAAATACTAAAGAACTATATAGTCATGGGGCTATATACCATATCTCCTTCGTTCATGAATATATCCTAACACATGCTCATAGTAGTGTACACTAAATGTTTGCTAAGAAATGAACAAATGAATGACACTGTGTATATCAGTGCTTTTCAAACATAGTTGCACATTAGAATCACTCAGGAAGCCTTTTAAACTGGGGTTGCCTGAGCTCACCCCAGAACAAGGGAAAACAGAAATTCTCCAGGCGTTGATATTTTTCAAAAGCTTCTTAGACAATTACGTGAAGCTAAGATTGAAAATAGCTGTATTAAATGATCATGTTTGTATTCTTCAAATCTCTCATCTCTTTCAAAGTCACACAGACCACCTCTTCTTCATATATCTGATAAGGGGTGCTAAGGTTTGGTATTCCCCAAATCACAGTCTTTACATTTATACCTTAGAATTTTCAGACAAGCTATTTTTTTAGCAGTTAGATTAACTAAATAATATAAGTATTTTATTAAGAGATTATGAAACTAGACACTTATTTTGGTTTGATATGCAATGGTTGCATTCTTGGGAATTTTAGCTAAGCAAAACAGACCTTAACATTATTTGTATTTTAATTTTAAACTAAAAAAATATATAAAAGTGGATAGGTTCCATATACATTTCTTCATAAGGACACTTTTTTTTTTTTAATTTTGTTTACTGATATATCCCATCCACCAAGAACAGTGCCTAGCATATAAAAGTTACTCGATGAATGAATGAATGAATGAATGAATGAATGAATGGGTGAGTGACATTTCTGCCCTTCATAGAAAGCCATGCTCAGTCTAAGTTCACAGAGCTAGAAATCACAAATGTAAGGGCATTTACCTCAGAGAACTTTCAGCTGGCCTGAAGAATATTTTAGAAGAAACTACCTTATCAATACATTTAGGTTGGGCATGTTCTCTTCTAATCCACACAGATCCCTAATTTTTTATTATTTATCCTTAGTCTGATTCATGCAAATATATTTTTTTTATTTAGGTTTTACAGGCATTTGAGTATGTAACTACTCTACACAAGTGTTTTTCATTTTATGGTTCCTGGACCAGAAAAATGAGAATCAACTAGGTGCTCATTAAAAATGTAAATTCTCAGGTAATCCGTGGGTTAACAAGTCTTTCCTGGTGATTCTAATACACTGTAAAGTTTAAGAACAACTACGGAT